CAATTAAATTAGTGATACATTTTATTTTAAATGATGTAAGACAAGAGCAATAATGGTTATGTAGCAAAACCATAGAGTGTTGCACTAGATACTAGCTAGTACTTGATGTAATCGTTTCAACTTATTATGAATTCAGCTATATCTTCACGCATGTATCCAAAACTTGACCAAACTCACAAAGATAATATAATTAGTATCATGACGATATGCTAACATTGGAATATGATTATCTTAGTATACACAATCGTAAAAAAAAATGTGTACACATACAAGCAGGCAATAATCTCTGGTAGTCCATTGGAATAAACTATTGAGCATGATGGTCAAATGAAAATGCATGCAGATTGCAGAATGAATCAATGAATGAATTGCCATCCGCTAGGTAGCCAGAATTAAATGGTGGGAGATCTGGAACAGAGAAAGAAATTCCTTGATCCAAGGTTTTTCAACTTGTCATTTGGCTTCAAACCTGCACCGCAGCCCACCAATAATGAATGGTGTAGAATACAGAATGATTGGAATTGGATTGAAGGTGAATGAGAAAACGTACTTTGTAGAGTGAAGGGAGAGTAGTGAAGGTCGTAGGAGTCAGGACGAGTGTCCTTCAAGGGTGGTCTTCTCTTCTCGGAGGCATAAATGGACAAGATAGCCTTAATCAAATCGGTGACGGTGTCTTCAGGGCTCATCAGGACCTGAATTGCCCCCAAGCTATTATCGATGGTCACATTGAGTAGCAGCTTGGTTGGCCCATCACCACACACACTACTACTCTTCTTGGGGCTTCCACGAGGAGTCGACACTGATCCACCCATTTGTTGGAAGTTGGAAGTTGGAAGTGAACGTGAGGATGTTACTTTTTGAGTGTTATTGTTGAGGGGGGGAAACACGAAACTTCTTGGAAGGTGCCTTTTCTTTCGATTACGTTGCTTATCGCCTCACGCCCCCATCAGAATCATATGACGTGTATTAGTATTACTCTATCTCACTCTATGCTCCGTTTCATCAACAGAAAATTAAAGGAAACAAATTTTAGGACTATACTCTATAGCATCTTATCTCTCAATACTTTTAATTAATGTAAAAATTAAGAGAATTCGTTGGTGTTAATTAAAAATTTTCTGATAAGAATTTAGGGAATGAGTGGCGGAATAAAAATTGAACTGTTTGTCTTTACGTTATTTTTATAAGCATATTTTTATTTGTTATAATAAATCTGTTTGAATAATCCTCTAAATTTTTTTATATATATCAAAATTAAATTATTAAATTAAATAAAATAACTTTATTTCATACGCAGACATCAATGTCCATATGTTTATTTTTGGACATTTTATGCGTATTTAATTTTGGAGATTAATTAACTAATTAGTTAGTAAAGGTGATCAATTCTTACTGTAGTAGCTAGTAACCAGTTATAGTAATGAGTTTATAGTAACCTCATATATATTTTTTAGAATTTATGATCTCTATATTTTTCTATACCAAAAATAATATAGACTCGTATATATATAATGGTACATCTAAATGTAGACATGTAGATCATCTTATTTTTTATTTTCCTAAATATATTCATCGTTCTCCCACATATCCACAAAAACAGAGAAATTGCAAAAGAAAAATGCTTTTTAATTCCAATTTTCTATTATTTTTAAATAAATTTTACTATAATCTTTGTTGAACACTCAAATTTATTCTCTGTTTTCAAATTAAATTATAGGTGTTTATATATACTTGGATATTATTTATTTTAGAATATACAAACATATTTCTTAAACTAAATAAATAATTCAAGTATTGAAAATTGGAAAAAAATTCTACGGCCGGCGGAGACCTGTACGGTGGTTTGATGGAAAAAGTAACATAAAAATGGAAGCGATGGTTCACTGCGAGCAAACTACCATGTTCCATAGCCTTTTAGCTCTTCTTACGATTTTGTTGATATTCCGAGCTATGAAGGACCTTAGAAACAAGGGAGGAGAGTTATGTGCGAGTAATTCGGGTGCACTTTCTGAGTAAAATGAATCCATGTCAGATGTTCCATTACTCTTCCTTAGATAAAAACTTCTACTACCTACATCCCCAATCAGTTCTGATTTGTCCAAACCTACCAAGCAAATAATCAAAGTCAACTAAACCTCTATCTAATCCACCTTGTCATGTCCTCTGACATCTCTTGTGATATATTATAATATTATTAATTTATTATTATTATTATTATTAATGAGTGACTTACTTTGGAGACTGAAATGAGATTGATGCAATTGGAATGTTGAGGAAGGAGCATCAAGGTCGAGGCTAGGGCTCCTGCCTTCTTCTCTATATATATCGATCACACGCGTTATTGTGTCCTCCACACTGGATCCCAATTTCACCATGGTTCTCACTGGCCCTGGACTTCCTTCAACCGTTACATTAACCACTACCTTAGCTTCCTTCTCATACCTCTGTTGTAACTAAAATCAATACAATCATCCACTATTATAATTCTAATTATCAAATAATAAACTAGAATTTCATGATCTGTAACAATAATCACAAACGAAACGGTTAAATCAAAAGATTAGCGAGAAATTAAAGTGAACAGAAATACCTTGTTAGGTACAAGGTTTGGAGAGGAAGCAAAGAGAGAAGGAGAAGAAATGAAGGCTTCGGAGAAGGTTTGAGGGCGGAAAAGCCTCCCTTCGCTCTTGAATGCATATTCGAAGAAATCGTCTCTGCCTCTCGACAGAAGCAGAGGCGCCGATGAGCAGCGCTTCAAGATCTTGAGATCAGGCCTGGACCTATTTTTGGACCTCCGACGAGACGACGGAGATGGAGAGGGCGAGGGGTGCGGCGGTTTGCTTCTCCGGGATCGGATCGCCGGCGATCGTCGGCGCGGACTGCTCCGCAACATGCAAGGGGAGGAGTTGGTTGATTGTTCTTTGAGTAATGGAAAAATGTAAAATGGATTAAGAAAGAGTGTGATTGTGATTTATATAGAAAGCAGGGAGGTAGAAGAATATGTGAATGGTAGTTAGGTTTAGGGTGTGTGGGTTGCGTGTGTGGAGGGAACATATGACAAGCTGGAATAACCGTCAAGCTCTTCATTTTATTCAATTTTACTACTACTTCACTTTGAAGGCAGGGCATGCACTGCTAGTTAATCTGGTTTGTTTTTCCACCTCCCTTTTCTGTGGATCCTACTCCTACACTCCTTTTATTTGCCTTCACCCTTTAATTTAGGGATGGATGGTGAGGATGGATCTATGGATGCCTTTCTTTAGTTCGTTTTCCTAAAAGTTTCCAACATAAAGACTCATACTCACACTGTGACCGTCCACCCCCTAATATTCTTTTCTTACTACTTAGGTCAATTCCTTTATTATGTGAAACAAAATGCGGATTAAACAATCTTATCACATTTTGCTGATATATGAGTATTAAAAAATGAATCAAGGAATGATATCACATAAAGTTTGATTGGGTGTTATGTATGATTTGATTTTGGGCGTTCTGGGGAAGAAAGAAAAAGACAAGCAACAAACTAACGCCCAAATATTTACTACTGGAAGAATGAATGAGTCGCCAATTTTTCTTATTGACAGGGTCCCTACTCCGCTAAAATAATTACTACTACAACAACAGCACTATTCCCTTAGCTTCGGGATAATAATGACGATGCAAACACTAGAAGACTAATTTGTACCTAAAACCTAAAGGGATCCAGAAAACACAACAAATTTTCAAAGATATCCACCGATTACTAATCTTTTCGCCATGGATCATCTACTTTTAAAAAAAAAAAAGCAGTTAGCATGAGAATTGAGATACAATTCTATTCGCAAAGAGCAAACGGCTAGCAAAAAGGATCCAAGAAATGCAGCAAAACGTGAAATATTCCACGAGTTTCACCAATGACAATGTCAGTATGTTATTATTTATTTTTGGATTGGGCCAATATCAGTTTGTCTGTTTATGTGCAGAAGTCCATATGGATCCAACTCTAACTTTCTTACTTCGGTTTACCAAAATTAAGCCCAAATTCTAATAGGCTTAAGCCCAGTCTTTTTCCTCAAATGTCTCAATTTTATCATACAGAATTTATTTTCCATTTTTCAAAGTAAACATGTTTGATTTTTCCGTCCAAACTATTGTAAAATGTTTTTGGACGTTAAAATTATTGCGCACTTCGGTATTTCTTTTTGGTCTTGCGTACTTTTTTTTGGTCATTGGTCTGGTCTCAAACAATACCTTGACCCCAACCCCCGAGGTCTTGCGTACTTCAGTGATTTATTTTCATTTATGATCAATGACATGGTAAAGAGGCCCAAACCAAAAAAAAAAAACGTACAAGCGTATTGATAGTCAGTGGCATCCTGAGGCAGTGAGGCATGTATTAAAAAAAAACTAATTGAATGTAGCTACAAGTATGTACCGAGTATTTATTTTCAATAATGAAATCAACCAATAATGATGATGATGATGATGATTTTAATGAATTCTACCAAGGACTAATAATGTTAATTAGAAAAGAATGGTAATTTTCAATAAAAATTGTCTTTTTGTTTTTTACTTTCTTAACAAGTGTTATTAGTAAAAACTTATTTTAGAATACAATACACCTTACAATTCATCACATTCTTTTCTGCAGTGCAAAATCGCACTTTAGCGGATAAGTTTTTTGCATCACATTTGAGTTTAAAATCACATACTCTACTTTCATTCCCTCCTCTTATTACCTTTGCTAAATAAAAATGTAATTTTCTTTGATTTACATACATGATGACCATTGTCAAACTTATGTATAATATTTTCAGATGACATATGTGTTCTAATTTCTAAGAGATTTTTGTCACGTGATTCTGGTTGATCTAGGTCTTTATATTTTCCTCCTTTCACTATATTAATACAGAGAGGTACATATATAGTAAGCAGTTTTTAGAATAGGAAAGTAAAACCTGCACAATAAGTGGCTAACATTAACTGATCTTAATGAATATTACCACATTATAATTTAACAAGCCCGTCTAGTTCAGTCGGTAGAGCGCAATGCTCTTAACCTTGTGGTCCCAGGTTCGAGCCCTACGGTGGGCGTTATAATTCCCCCCCCCCCCACCCCAAACAAGAGGGAGCATGTAACTTTCATATTGGGTCATAGTCTCATACGTTGCTTAAAGTGGTGGGGAAATTGTAAATGAGCAAGCAGCCTCTTTATGGCTTTCCTTTTGAAGGCATCACTGGAAATAATTTGGAATCCTTGGCCATACACGTGGATAGGGCCCGGGCTTTTTCTTTCGGTAAGCGACCACACCACTGTTCCTCACCCAACGTACAACCATTCTCCTTTTCTTATCCATTTTTGGTATCTCTGATGGATAATGGAAACCAAAGATATGTATGTGTGTGTATGCTTACCACTTTTATTTTTCTCCATTCTCTTTCCCAAACAGGAATATTGGGAAATTGGGCCTGCAAAACCTTCCTAGATACTTATGGATGCCGAGATAGGGACATACATGTATATCCGATATAGACGACATTTGTTGGTCTCCATCAAGCCGCATCCCAATTCAAAACTTGAGTTTAAGAACTCATATATGTGTGTGTAGATCCTATGCTTCTTCTAATGCAACACATATTCATTAGGAAAAAAATTCATATGCAGTAGACTTTATATGAAGTTGTTATTAATAGTCGTTAAATATTTTGATATATTTGATTAAAATGTCATTTAATGATGATAAAGTATTAACTTCACATAAACTTAATTCCATTTGAGTTTTCATCAAATTGTAACTATCACTGTATGTATTTTGTTAGAAAAATATAAAATTAGGGTTTGTTATGATCTCGTGTGTTCATCAATAATGTTCTTGACTTCTCGTTTTTCCTCGAATTCACCTTTTCAATAAGAATTAGATGTATATTTAGATAGAGAAGTAGGTACTTGAATAATTATAAGAGGTGGTAACTCAAGTACAGTTGAATTTATATTAAGTTGTTATTTAAAATCGTTAAATTACATTTTGATCAAACTTATCAATTTATCTAACGGTAATTAGCAAGCAACACTACAACATTTTAGGCCCAAAGCAACATATAATCAAAGCAATAGTTAAAAAGTGTTGTTTTAAATGCTCAAAAACATCACTTTTTCATTTGTTGCAGAAAATAAGACTTTTGCAAAAATAAGACTTTTGCAACTCTTTTTTTAGCTAACAAGTCACAAGTGTTCCCTTTGCCTATTTTGGAAACAAATAAGAAGCGTTGCATCAGTAAATAAAATAGGCAACTCTTTTTATACTCATATGTCACCTTTTATAAGAGTTGCTTTTTAATTTTTAAAAACTAACTATTATTAAGTGTTGCGTAAAGTTACCCTCTAATTATTTTATTCAAATATTTTAACCAAGTATTTTAATTTTTCACTAAAGCACCGTCTCCAAACACGAGCACCTTCTCCCCCAAATGTGAGAAATGAGAAATCAAAGAAAAGAAACCCTAGCCTCCGCCACCGCCATCTGCGACCGCCACCGACGGCGCTGCCTGTCTCTTGCCGGTGGCTGGTCTTCCCTCCACGTCGCGTCACATCCACCGTTTCATCGTTCTTCTCACCGTCGTCGCGTCGCCACCATTCATCGTATTGCGTGCTCCTCCGTAGTCATCCGCCATTGTCTATGAACTAGAGTCGACATGCTTAGTTGCTTACTCCGTCAGATCCACGGTAATGTCTTTCCCTCTCTCTCTCTCTCCCGTGCTTGCTGCGATATGATTTTTCTTTTCTTTTCATAATTTCAGATTCTCGCCACCTTCTGTTTGCTATTCTTCGTTGAGAAGGAATATTA